TTAGCAGAGCCCATGTACTGTTTGAGAGAGCTGGACAATGCTCAGCGACAACCTCTAAATTGATCATCTGATAAGCTCATACTGAATAATACAGAATGTGAAAACCCTACCTCTACAAGAAGCTGGAAGACTAAGCGAGTGTAAACAAGACAAAGGTATGATTATGCATGCAAACACTTCAAGGAGCAGATACTAAGTTGCTCACAAGAAGCAGTGCTAAAACTTACAGGTTTGTGTCAAGCAGTTCGAAGCAAATGCACAAATGTCGTTGATGTACAAAGTAATCATAAATACGTACAACATGATGTTTGTCCTCTGGATCATACTTCTTGTTTAACTGCAAAAAAATAAACTTTTGAGCAGAACATTAAATCAACTTCATTAAAAACATATCAAAAAGCCGATAAAAGATTACGGTGATTTGTTTTTGGAATATTTTACACGGGCACTAAACAATCTAGGTATAGATTTGAGGGTCTCAGCTTCTTAGGAATATTGACAGAGACTTTTTCTGTCAAGTTTGTTAGAATTTTCTGGAAAAAGCATTCTTGACGTACTTGCTGCTGCCAAACCTGAAACATTCAGAGGTTGATAAATATGTTGGTCTCCTTCAGCATCTTACCCACTCAATTCTCCTTGATGGAAATGATGAACCAATTTGAAGTTGGAACTAATGGTTCCTTCCTGGTTGAAATCTTCTATTTGCATCTTGCTCAATTTGGCTCGTCTCAGAGTGACCCCTATGGAAGTGCATCCAGAAGCTTAAAGTTTTCTTTTTCCTTTGTTTTTTTGAAATAAGTATCCAGAACATTAAAGTGTCCTTCTAGAATTGATTTTTTTTTTTTTGCTTTGGAAACAGTGAGAGAGAATTTACTGTTTACAATCTTCAAAAGGGGGCTAAAAAGAGTGTCTTGTACCAGAGGGCAGCTAAGACACCAGACCGTCTTATGCTGCCATTCCTCGGTATGAGTTAATTAATGGCAATTTTTTCTTTTCTTTTTGAAATAAAAGTTTGATGGCAAATTATGTGGCCAAAGAGATCTAGGCAAAGTAGGACATCCAAGGTAATGACCACAAGGGAAAACTCATCTTTCCCATCCCCCAACCACTATGTGGATCATTTGGAAGCAAATAAATAGCAGGGATTTTAAGGGCTTACTTTTTTCCTTCAGAAGAGCTAGAAATTTACAGTTCCAAACAATGGATTTTTGGTTTAAGGATCATCCTCTTTCTTCTAGAGGGGATCTAGGGATCTAATAGATATTCTAACTTATATGTAAAGTTTTTGTGGCTGGGTGGTGCTAGATGCCTTTTTTATACATATATATTCCTTTTTTCTTCTAAAAACCCATATTGCTACTGCCAGCTATCTTAATTTCGGATTAATAGGTGCAGTCAATTATGGAGATCAGTTTTGCAGACCCAAGTAGTACACATCTCATTTGGCGAGTTTACACGGCCATGGTCTTTGTTGATATCAATTGATGCAAGTCAAATAAAGCTTGAACATAAACACTACGAGAAAATATTTTTTTACATTTTGATTTACATTTTAATTGACATGTAACCCCTTTGGTTCTTGTGAATACTTTACTCTTTATTTCAAAAGACAATAACACTAAAAGAAGTAATTAAAAACCAAAATTGGAGATCTTGAAACTCAGTAATCAAATCATAACTAAATATTTAAATAATAATCATGAAATAGTCTACCAAATGGCTACACTAAAGTACCTTATTTATAGGCATCAACATACAATCAAAATAGAAATTCTTAAACCTATCTAGTAATTCTAGAAAATAGAAAAATAGACTAATTAATTTGAATAACCTATAAAAGAGAATAAAAGGATTCTAACTAAATAGGTAGTAAACTTTTCCCATTATAAGTGTGTAGCTACTAGTCCTGGTTAGAAATTTGAATGATTGTGAGATTGATGAATTTACAAGGCTTCTACAAGTTCTCACGGATGTTCAAGTGGGTTCGGACAACGATAAGCCTACTTGGAAATTCAAGAAAGATGGCAATTTCACTGTGAAATGCTTCTATGACCTTTTGACATCCAAAGAGGATAATGGTAAACAATTCCCAATTCAATAGATATGGAAAGCAAATGTGCCATCACGATCACTTTTTTGCTTGGGAAGCATGTCAGGAATGTATTCTCACTATTAACAAGTTGATGAGAAGGGGGCACATTATAGCCAACAGGTGCTATCTTTGTGTGAATGCTGCAGAATCTTGCAACCATGTTCTTATTTGGTGCCTAATGACTAATAGTTTATGGTCTATGGTTTATAGTCTATTTGGTATAAATTGGATGACTGGGGGTATGGTGAAAGATGAATTGTGGGCATGGGGTTGGGATTAGAAGTAGTAATAAGTTTGTTAAAATGATTCCATTGTCTATTTTTTGGGTTGTATGGAAAGAAATGAACAATAAAACTTTCGGTGCATGAGAGATATTGTAGAATTAGAGATAGATGACTTCATGCTTTTGAGATTCTAATTCTGGGTCATGACGTGTATAGGTGGGATGATTTTGGGAGAGTTATTGATGCACTAACCAATTTGTAAATTCTTTTGTATAGAGAAGACACCCCCTTGGTGTCATATAAATAATATACATCTTTTTATCTCAAAAAAAAAATAGCTACTAGTCCTAGATAATCTAGGTACCTAAATAACACACAAACATTAAAACTACATAAATATATCTTATTATAAAAATGTCCACTTTAAGATCTTTCTACTCTACATCACCTACATAACTAACCACTCTTAAATTTAAATGTGATACAAGAATGAAGAATATCAAATCTCTATCACAAGAATATATGATGTATCCACCTTCATTGTATAACACCCTCGGCACAACTACCACTAGCCCAACAACTTCTCGAACCAAACTACTGGCCTTCAAAAGTTTAAGTGCAACCTATTGGTAGCGTGAGACTTGAGCTTTTATATGGAGTTCAACAATCATATATTTTTTTGATGTAGGATTGGATTATAACCTTCAACACTCACATCTTTGATGTCCTCATCAAGCACACACATCACACAATCACATATCACAAGCTCTGATACCATTTATAAAGTCCAAGATCGTACCAGGCGGAATCATCGGACTACCATGTGCTCTGATACCATTTATAAAGTCCCAAACACAAGCATTACTAGTCCAACAACTTCTCGGATCCAAACTACTAGTCCTCAAAAGGCTAAACCCATATTACAGATAGTGAGTGATTTGAAATCTTATATTGAACTCAACAATTATATATCTTTTCGATATAGGATTGGGGTATCATACACTAGGGATGCATAAGAGCATTAGCTGCAATGGTTAACAACTGTATCTTCTTTGTTCTATTTCTTCTTAGATCTTCCTTGTTATTTCCTTCTAATCTAATAACATGGCTACTATGCCTATCCCCAATGGACACGTGGTGTCCTAAGGGACAACCATCAGTATTGACCTGTTAGATCAAGCCACTTTGAGTCTGGCTACTAGTAATTTAGTATGGCGCACATTTTTTCCCCCTCCCTAAATGGATGCTACGTGTTCTAAGAGATAACACTCGCACTAAGACTTAACCATAAATTATGTCACTTTAAAGTAGCATGTGGCAGAATATTTGTGGGGCCGCCCCCCAAATGATTCCGCACACCTAAAGACAGCTCCCAACCCAATACAGCCTATTGATAACGAATTTTCCTCAACGTCCAACCCTAGAGATTCCACTCATCCCTTGGGGACCAAGTCCCAATCAACTTGACCTCCCAAGCAAAAGGCTCTCGTCCCAAGGCCTCTAATCAACCCAAGAAACTCATGGTTTGGAACTAGTTGCCTTTATAGAAAGCTAACAATATATGCATCTAATCATTATCAATAATCTTTAAATTTAGGAATACCCTGATGTTCACCAACATTCTCAAAACTAGCAATGTCAAACCCTGACATCTAATACGGAATTGCTTGAATTGGAAAGAACCACCAGCTCGCCACGTCCCTCACAACAAGTCCTATAAGTGTCCTAAGAATTCTAACAATGGTAATCCTTCGGTATCCTTATTTTTTCTAAAGTATTGCTCTTTTCTCTCTTATTCTCTTCACTTAATAATTGGAGGTTTTACAAGAGAGGCAACTCCAGTATTGCACTGGCACTCTATTTATTTCACAAGAGTTAAAGATCTTGGGATTTCCACATGACAGCACATGCAATCCTGCTTCTCCAAATTTCAGATCTTCCACAGCTTTGCCTTTTAACTTTTTTTTGAAAAAAAAAAAATTCTTCAACTGAAGGCACAAAATCTTACATTGCCCACTACATGATCCATAAACTACCTATTCCCCTAGTAGTTTGATGCCCACATAAGAACCTTACATATTTCTTTGTCCTTCCTGTATCACAGCGACAATATCTTTTGAAACAAGAAATAAGAAGCTAATACAGAATTTAATTACCGTTGTCAAAATAGACACTTCAACCAGTGCCTGCTGGTAGTAAGCAGGCTGATTTTTAATTATCTTCACAGCAACAAAACTGTGTGTTTCTGCAACCCAGCATTTAGCAACCTGCCCGAATGTCCCATGGCCAAGTACATCTTTGACAACATATCTGAAAGATAACATGAGAAGAACAATTAAATTCTTCTTTTCGTTACTTTGGTTGGTGAAAGGACCCAGGAAGGGCAATAAAAATGATAAATTACCATCAATAATTCAAAGTATACACACTATATGCATGGTCTGTCCTACAATAATAAATGAATCTCTGTATGCTCATTCTTTGGTCAAAAAGCAAGTAATTGATTTACCTCGTTCAGAAGGCTGGCTTCAAGGTCCAAAAAGAATATTGATTCTCACTGTCTCCCTATATTTTGGATATCATGGAAGGAGAGATAGAGGAGAACTTTTGAAAAATCTTCATCCTTTTTTGCTTCTATTAGGGATCATTGGTTGAGGACATCTTACATTTTCTTTAAGGCTTATGTCAGTCAAGACCGGTCAATGTAGTTGACCTGTTTGGCATTTTTTTATAGATTTTTAAATCGTTGAATATTTTATTCTTGGGTGGCACTCCCTTATTCATGAAATTTTTCTTCACTAAAATCCCAGCTAGAAGTTGATAGACATGGTAAAGAAACTAAAACCCACTGCTCACATCAAACTTGAACATTACAATGGAGATAATGTTGCAGAAATGCAATTCAAATAATTTTCATATCCTTTTTTTTAGAGTAATGAACAGATACTTGACCACAGGTTAATATCTTCATACTTTAAAGCACAAGATCTAAACCCCAAACATTTAAATAAAAATTGCCTAGAATTCCTGCTTCTTCTTGGAACTTTTCACCACAAGAAAACAGTGTTGTAGAAAAAGAGAAACTATTTTCGGAAGGAACATGTGAAGAATACAAAGAAAATAGAAACCAACGAACCTTCTCTGTGTGTCTGAATTGACCAAGACATAGTTCACTGTTAGTATAAGATCTGAGTTGACATTATCATAGCCATCATTGAGGACTCCAATTGATGGGCTAGTTAAAAACCGCTTCAAATTTAATTCTTCTGAATACTTGAATTGTGGATTGCAAATTTGGTATGTTTCAACTATGTCTTTTGTCAATCTTGCCACCAACTGCAAAACAAACATTTGCCTCATCTAGTTTTTGCTCTTTAGGATTTTCTTAGCTAAACATAATAAGGCAGAACGGAATAGTATCAATCGAAAAGTTACATCAAATCACGTCTAGAAACATAAGTGGCAAACTAAATGATAATAGCACAGAAGCAACACAAGAGGGAAGGCATCATAGACAGATAAGAAGCATATAAATGGAACACCTAGTTCTTGAGATTTTTGAAAATGCAACAACCTTTGAAGAAATTATAAGAGAGGGAAAAAACCACAAAGGAGAAAGAGGAAACTGTGAAGAGACCAGTAATAGCCACCAAATGGATACAAGAATGGGAGAATACAGACATCTCAGTCACCTCCATATGTGTATTCTTCCCGTCGCTCAAATTATTCTCTCTAGGAATATTCAGTGAAAAAGGTAGCTACTTTTCCAATTTCCATACTTTTGATATTCATTTTTTTATACATAAATTGCAACTCTTGTATTGACAATCTTCCATCACTGAATTACAACTTATTGACCAGATCTCTAGTTGGGGCTTTTATTTTTGAAAACCAAAGTTTGTCTCAACGCCTAAATAAAGTGCTTTTAGTTAAACCAAAGTAAATTTTGACTCTGTAACAAATGTTCTTTTCTTTTAAGGAAAATAATTTTATCAGAAAAAT